TTAAAGGAAATAAGGGCTGATAGCTGGTGAGGGGCGCCTCGTTTGTAGCGATAGCCGTTCCAGGTTGCTCGTTTTAATCGAAGTGCTTTGGTGCAATCGGAATTCCACCATGGAACACATTTAGAGGTATAAGGTCTTGAAGTTCGAGGAATGGCTGTATAGGCAGCTCTTAGGATCGTGATTGTAAAACGTAGCATATCTGAAATTGACGGTAAGGGGCATGGAGGGATAGGTATAGTAGAGAGTGAAGTGAAAGTATGCCAGTCAGCTCTATCAAAGCACCAGCGTGGAGGATTAGGAAGTGGTACATATGAAGTAGGAGAAAGGAGTACTGGGAAGTGGTCACTATAGGGGAAGTGGTCTAGAACTGACCAATGGAAATCTAAATGTAGAGTAGGAGAGCATAGAGAGGTCAAGGCATGAAAAGGATTGTGTGCGCATGTCAAAGTGTGTGGGGCGATCTGAATTAAGAATAATTAGGTTATTTGTGAAGAGGAAGCGTTCTAGAGATCAGCCTTGGGAGTTGGTGGTAGAATCACCCCACAGAGTGTGGCGGCAGTTGAAATCACCAACTACGAGGAAAGGTGGTTGGAGTTGGGAAATTAGAGTTTCAAAGGCAGCAAAGTCAATGGGATGGGATGGGGAGTAAGAGACTGAAATCACTGTGATCCAGCGGCGAAGAAATATGCGAGTAACTGTGCACGGGACAGAAGTTTGTATGGGAGGTATGACGTAAGGTGTTTTATGATGGATAAGTATAGACGAGACAAAGGGAGTGTGGGAGAGAGATAAAATGGTAATTGGGAATTGGAATAGGAGGATGTGTGAGGAAAGTCTCTTGGAGGCAGATAATAGATGGATTATAAGCAAGAATATGACGTAGGTCTGGTCTGTGAGAACGAAAACCGCGAATATTCCAACGTAGGAGAGCTATATCTTAGTTATTTTATGAGTGAAAGCGTCGGTACGTGTTGGGGAATTCTGGGGGGGAAGGAGCTAGGGGGTGTAAAGGAAGGGTATCAGGAAGTAGGGAATCTGGGGAAGGGAATTGTTGTGACAGGAGTGATTCCCGTGTGTATCCGGGAGGGAGTGGATAGGATAGAAGGGATGGATGGAGGGAGAATGTGCGTATAGTTGGGGTTGAAGGGGGTGGGTTGGGTTAATAGTTAAAAGCGAAATAAATGTGCTAGACATCAAAGGTCATATAGCACTATATGTTAGGTGATAGTTGCTATGCATCAACTATCTGGAGTAATGTTGGAAAGTTGAAGATGGGTAAGGGTGTTGATGAGGAAAGGGTTATGGTGGTTTAGGTAAGGGAATTAGATCAAGTGAAGGATATTTAAGCGTCTGAGGAAGGAGAACAGGTTGTTATAAGAAGCAAGGATATGACGTAGGCCTGGTCTGTGGGAACGGAAACCGCGAATATTCCAATGTAGGAGAGCGCGGTACGTGTTGGGGAATCTGGGGGGGGGGGGGCTAGGGGTGTTGTTACATGAATGATTCCCGTTTGTATCCGGGAGGGAGTGGAAAGTATAAAGGGATGGAGGGAAGGAGAGTGCGTATAGTTGGAGTTGAAGGGGGTGGGTTGCGTTGGGGGAGTAGGAGGAAGTGGCGTGGGGGGAATATTAGTGGTAGGAAGATGGATATCGAAAGGATGGATAGTTTGAGTTGAAGAGGATGTGTTGTCTTGGGAGGGATTAGGAGTAAGGGGTGTGGGGTTCTGTGAGTAAGAGGAGGATGGATATCAGAGGTGGACGGAATTGAGGGGGTTAGGTTGTGTTGAGAGGGAGTAGAAGGAAGGGGTGTAGGGAAATATTAGTAGGAGTAGTATGAATTTCGGCAACCACTTCAAGTGTGGAAGGAGAATGAGTTATGGGATCTTGTGTCTTAAGCATATAACTTCGGATGTCATCCATTGTTTCTGCAGTGGAATTGGTTGGAGAGTTTTGTGAGAAGGTAATTGTTTCTGTAATGGAGTTGGTTGAAGAGTTTTGTGGATAAAGGTTTCTTATGAGGGGGAGGAGAGAGAGACTGGTGTCTGAGGATAAAGGTAAAGGTAGGTGGAGGTGAGTGTGCGGTAGGGAAGAAGGGGTGGAACGTTTAGTCTGTCTACTGCAGGTAGTGCGGGGAGGGAGAGGGGATGGCATTGGGACTGTAGTTGAGATTGGGGTGTCTGGATTTAGAGTGGCAAAAGACTTTGATTGGGTGAGGTTGAATGTAGAAATGGGGAAGTAAGTAGGTATAGGGGAGGGTGTAGGAACATCTTGAGGTGAGGGAGAGGGGCAAACGAGCGACTACCGGAGTAGGAAGTATAAGAGTAACCTTGTCGCGCGAGCTTCCTGTCTGGCTTCATGTAGAGTGAAACCATTTTTGTACCTGAGAACTGCTACCTCAGACTCGAACTTGTAAATGGGACAGCCTCTATAAAATACATTATGAGGGCCGCTGCAGTTAGCACTTGTGCGTGTTTGTGCAGGGCAGTTTGATCAGTTATGACCGGGTTGGGTACAGAGGGGGGCATAGGTCTGTAGAGCGGCAGTGTTTGGTAGGATGTCCAAATTGCGAACAATATTGACATTGACGGGGAGGAGGTTGAAATGGTTGAACAGGGAGAGATTCTCCACCATTGTAGATATGAATGGGAAGGTCATGTGTACTGAAAGTAATTTTGTCAATGTTGGTGGGTTTCTTTCGATGACCTCTAGGAGGAATGGAGTAGCAATGTACTGATATCACGCCCTGGTCTTTGAGGCAGCCGAGCAAGTCTTCTCCACAATCTGACCAATCTTTGGTATCGACTGGGCAGTTTGCTGGGGAGATAGAGACAGTTTTGGTACCATTATTAAGGGTTGGATGAGGTACTGCAGGAATGGGGTTGCCAGAGAGATCAGTTAGTTTTGATAATGCTATAGCTTCAGCTTCAGATCTGACTGTTACAAGACGGGAGCGATCGCGTCGGGTACGGAAAGGGACTCTGCCATTGTTGAAGAGATGAGTGTTTGCCTGAGTAAGGAGCTGTAGGGGGGATCACAAAAAATCGGTCCATTTAGCTGGGCTAATTGTAGTAGTTAAGATATTTGTAGGGTTGGTGGTGGTAGAAAGATGGGGGCATGTGGAAGCGGGAGTGCTGTTGAGAGGGGTAGTATTACAGAGATGGAGAATAAGGCTGTAAGGTAGTAATAAGGGAGGTTGGGGTGTTTGATGAAGAAGGTTGTAGGGGTAGAGTTGATAAATTGAGGAAGTTGGGAGGGTAAGAATGTCTTCTGGAGATTGATTCTCTGCTTGGGTGGGTAATGCACTTGTAGGCATTGAGGAGTGGGCAGTAGTTTCAGTGTTCGGAGTCGTGGTCAAAGGAGAGCCTGGGGTCAGGGAGCCGGTGGGGCTATTTGATGAAGGGGCAAGCCTCATTGCCCCAAATAGGGGTATTACATCTTCATTACTGGCCATGGGAACCTTGATTATGTAAAGGGAAATAAACAGTCCAACCCCAGTCCTTGTATGGGGTAAGGGCTAGACAACTAAATCAGGGGAGTACTGTGCCCATGGTTCCCGCAGGCTGTTCAGGACTGGCACAAGGTCAGCCTTTCATCCTTTTAGCACGGCTTTTACCCCCCCCCCCCCCCATGAAAACGGGCAGGGATTGGAGAAGGGGGAGAAAGACCATGCAAAATTAGTTGAGTCAAGGTCTGAGGCTCAAAGCAGGGGAGATCCCTGCATTGGGTTCCAGTCCCCATCTTCTAAGCTCCCCATGACAACAGGCAATTGATTAGGGGGGATATTTTGCTTATAGATCAAACTAACTATATATGATGAAAACAATGAAAATAAAATACTCTATATGAATGGCATATCATATTTATTTATCTGTTTGAAGAATTTCTTTGTTATTGTTTTTTTGACACTTGCCAGATTTTAAAAAATATTCTAAAAAAATAAAGGTTGGTCTCATGTGAAATTTTATAAGCTTTCGGAAAATAATTTAATTTTAAAAATTACATCCAATCATTATGTAACAATTGCCGATTTTCTAAGGTAAGGTGAAAAAAATTAGTATTTCAGTTGACATCGAAAAGGTCTGCTACCACCTAAAAAATAGCGGTTGGGCCTTGAAATCTTCTGGGGAGAAATGTAGGCCCTGAAATCCCTTGGAAATGCATTTAACTTGATTTTGGCAAGGAGAAGAAGATGATGATGATGAAGATGAAAATGAAGATGAAGATGATGACCAGACGATCCCCTGAAGCCAGCCTTTCCCAACCGTAGGGTTGCCAAGCCCTCAAAATATCAGATGTGATCAATTCTCAATTTTGAGAATTTTCAGCTAGGCTAAATTTTGCTTGATTATTACACAATATAAAATGCAGAAAAAAGTCCATGGAATTTGGATGAATCTAGAGAAAAAAACTTTTGATTTGTTTATATCTTCATTGAATTGTATAAATAATATAATATAGGCCTGTACAGTGTAGAACAGACTGGGGTTGTGGTCATGTATGGAGGTGCATAATTGGAATTGCCTGATAAAAAGGTTGGGAACCACTGTACTAAGCCCTTATTCAACAAAATGCTTTGTCAAGTAACATCTACCCTAAATTCCATAATACAAATTAGGTTATTGAATTCGTAAAATTAATTTGACATAATTTGTCTGATATTTCAACCTGTTTTGGAAAATTATCTCTATTGGTACAATCTTTGGGCAAATTTTGCATTGTTTTAAATTATACATATGTAAGTATACCTTTAATAGTTTTCTTTTCCTCATGACTAATATAATTGTATTTTATTCATGCAAATCCATTATATTGCAATATAATAGTGTGACCATTGCAAAGCCTAAAAAGTCCATTATTTTATATCTACTTTGTATAATAGATTATGTACATGAACAACTAAATAGCACATGATCTGAAAAAAATCTGGGTTGTATGCATGCATGCATGTGTGCACACACAGAAAAGGCCCTTGAAAAGTTGTATGGATATGAAAATTACTCGAAGAATTAGGTATCTATATTTGCTTGTTCATGTATTCCTTGGGAGGCAGACAATATCATATCTGGATCCGCTATGCAATGTTACAAAACAAAAATTTGCTTAATTTACTATCAATTATAGTTCTCAATAACATTACAAATGTATTTCACATATATATAGTTGATATAGTACACATGAAATACAGAAATGTTAGGTCTACACATAAAAAAGTTTCCTTTATATATATGAAGAAAAATATTAAAAAGTTGACAGATAAAAGAAGATTAAGGGTAATTCATTTCTTTTTTTTGCTCCTCAGCTGTCGCCTGACAACAGTATGTGGGCTATCCTGAACTGGAGGAAGTTCAATCTGGAAAGACAAAAGAAAAATAAATCTGTTTTAATAGAATGCACAAAATTTAAATCATAACTAATGATTGATATCCATACATATCCTTAACTTGGGCCACAAAAACTGGCATGATACTATTGGTCCATCTGGGTTGTCTCAGCCCACCATTTCTATTAGTGTTTGGCAGGATTGCTCCACTCATCCCCCTTTAATGCCATTCCTTCCCTTTATGTCTTCTGCTTCCTTCCCTTCTCCCTTGATTATCTATGCCTTGCGGAAACTATTCTTCTCTTTATAGCTCTCCTCAGCAAGAATTTGGCATATCATCTCCAAAGAAACTTTTCCTGATTTGTAAAATATCCAAATCACCATCTTCTTTATCTCTTTTTTCCTTTCCTTTACCTTATTTTAATACTACATCACCAGAATTATGGCCACCAAAAATATATAGCCTAATAAAACAGGGATGGAGGTCTGAGTTGTTGAAGAAAACACAAAAGTTACCTTCAGTTTTCTATGCCTTGCAGTCACTTTTCTAAACTTTGCCATATTGTGACTTTAAGACATGATTGCTAAGGAACTCTCCCCATATAGGGGTAAGAATCTTATCCACAAATAATGATACAACTTTACAAGATAAGACTCATCAATACTGACCATATTTGGAGAGCACTCGTAAGGTTCTTCTACAGTCGAGTTGTATAACTGTCGTCTACGTCTCTGTACTGGGGTTTTGAAGTCTTCTCCATTATCAGAAGCCTGGCTGTCCACTGCCTTATTTGCCAAACTACAGATATAAGATCAAGCTATGAATTAGAAATATTTTTATCATTATAAAGAAGAGTTCTGAGGACAAAAAAATAAGTAAATAATATTTTAAGCAATACAATATGGAATTTTCCTGTTTCTTTTATAGTCATATCATACCTGCTTTTATTCTCTTGGTCTGTATGTGGGTTATAGACATGGGATTTAGTTTTACGTCCCCTAGTCTTTCTTGTAGTTCTGGGCTGTTTACCCGCTGGTGCAGGAGGCTCCCAAACTTCATCCTCCTCCTCATCATCATTACCACCTTTTGAAGGTTTCCATGAGGATTCCTGAAATCATTATTTAATTGCTTTAATAAATCCAAGTTGACATTTCCTTCTTTTGAATACCCATTGAAAGACATCTTTCACAATTTTAAAATGAGGCAATATCAACTACCATATTTAAACAGTCGACTTTTCTAAACATTTACTAAAATAGGCCTACAATCAGTCTCCCACATAACATAAGGCAATATACAGTGTAAATAGGAAAACACGTACACACAAACACACACATTCAGTCAAAGTACAGATCTATCTTAGCAAATGTTCAAGGAAGTAGCAGAAACTATTCTTATATAAGTTCTGTTTATACTTTTGAATAAGGAAATTGATATTATTCCATTCCATGGTTGCCAAAAATTTAGAGAGAGAGAGAGAGGAAGAGAGAGGAAGAGAGAGAGAGAGAGAGAGAGAGGAAGAGAGAAGGAGAGAGAGAGAGGAAGAGAGAGACAGAGAGGATAAACTGCTTCATACATGTGCATGAATAACAACTTATATATTTAGAATATATCTAAAATCTTACCTGATTCTCAAAGGAGTTATCATACACATTTCTTTTGCTCTGGATGCGCCTCGAGGTCCTCTGTGGCTTCTCTGCTCTCTTATTACTGCCAGTACTGACTGAAGTTGGGGAAAGGAAATAGCTTCCATCGCCCTCTGTAGTATCCAGGACTAAGTGCAAAGATTCCTGTGGGAGATCATTCATTTATCAAATCATTGTTGAAATATGATACTGCCTCTGTGGAAAACTACAAGACTAACTTCATAAAATGCAAGCTGTTGAGATATAACAAACCAAAACTTTTTAATATTGTCCCTACTGAACCCACTCTGGAAGTTTGTTAAAACTGTTAATGGTCAAGTTTTGGCTCAGACTCCAGGTATCAATCTGGATTGATGGTTTCAGTTTTAGATTAAACTGTGTAGTACAAATGTTGGAAATAAGATTATTTAGCAAAAATAAGACCAGTTTAATTGCCCAGACTAGCCTTCTGAAAAATAGAAAAAAGAACAAAAAGAAAAGAAAAGGAAAAAAGAAAAAGGTATTTCTATGCTCAAAAAACATCAGTACATAAGATATAAACCAATCCTCTGTCAGTAATGGTAAGTACAATGCTGTTACGTATTATAAACAAAAATAATGGTTCTAACTATGGAAGCAGGTTAGTTAGAAAGCATTTAGAAAAAATGCTAGTCTCAATAAAATAAACTTTGGTGATTTCAAATGAATTTACTCAGTAAGCTCCAAAATAACCTGGCAGAGGCCTCTTTCTAACAGAGTTGTTAAATAAGAAATGTAAACAACAAATGCATACTCACACGCTTTCAATAACGATTAGGAAAAAAAAAAAAAAAAAAAAAAAAAAAAAAAAAAAAGACAGACAGACAGAAAGAGAAAGAAAGCATCAATCTTGCCTATTGTCCACAGTTACCAACACTAAGTCTGTAGTCGCTAATATCAACATTAATATCACGAAAGAAAGAGTAATAATATAATCTTGTACATTTAATCAAGAACACAATCCAGTCGCACAGTGTAAAATATGTGCATATCTTTGTATACCTAAAACTGTTTGATTTAAGCCATATTCCCTACACAAATCCTAAAAAATTAAACACTTTCTTACTTTCTAATTAATTTAAGCTTTTGTGCAACTGTTAAATTCAAACTTTTCTTCCTGAGAGCATGGTTATAGGATGTGATAAACAGTAAACCAGTTAAAGAGGATCACCAAGTTGAAATACATACATATATATATATACACACATACACATATATATGTATGTGTGTGTGTGTGTGTGTGTGTATACATATACATGGGACTCACAGACTGAGTAGGTCTCTCCTTTGACAGGGTTAATAATTGAAGTTAACAAAAAGACATAAAAAATTGCGGATCACTTATTGCGTAAACAATTATCAAAATTATTACCGAGTGTTATACATAATACTAGAAACTATGATACTATAATACTGAACTTCAAATCTAAATTTAGAAACTGATGAGAAATTCCAGAAATCATGACTGACATCTACAAAATGCTTCAACTTACACTTGGAGTCGGAAGTGGAGGATTTCCTTTCCGATTTCTTGTTGCACGACCACATGGAGTTGTTATGCTTTCTACATCTGACTGGCTGTTGTTGCACTCCACAGACTATTCACAGAGAAGAATTCATTAACATTTGATGCAGACACATCCAACTATTTGTTAATGTCAGCTATTGTCTACTTTCATTCTTTTTGCATATGATTTCTAAACACCCTAATTACCACTTCTTTAAAGCTTTCTCATTTGGAACTTCATATGGCAGTCTGTTTATATCTCATGATGAGTGACCATGGAAAATATCTCCAGCTAATGCTAAATACTGAAAAGGTTAACTTGCCCGTTTTGATGAATCTATAGTTGTTGGACAGTGGAATAATGAAGTATCAGATGCTAACGACAGCTTTTCCAACTGGGTTTTCAAGCCTGAAACTTCCTGACGCAGGGCATCTTTCTGTGCTTCACTTAGCCTGAAAAGGGTTAGTACACAAAATTATACATTTTCTGCATATTAATCTTGACTCAATAAAGCAAACCACTGAGAATGCTTCATATGTAGACACATTTAATAAAAAATTTATTCCTCAAAAAAGTCATTAAATTATGACCTTTATGATACATACCTGAACTGCTCCTTTAGTGCTAAGATGTCCTCATCAAGCTCTACAGATTCCTTCTTAACTTTTGGTGTTTCTGGAATAGTTATCTGACTGGTGTTGGATATGGTAGATATGGATTGCTGGAGAAGCTTCTTGACCTCTGTTAAAAGTATAAACAAGACATAGTACATCAAAAACTGTAAGTAATGACAAACTATAACAATAAGTATGTGAAGTGAAAACTACATTTCATTTACTTTGTGAATACTAAACTTAAAAATAAGAATTCACCACTTCTCTGGATGTGATAGCAGCTTCTCAAAAATATGAAAGAACTGACTCCCCCCCCATATATACAGGAAATTTATCTAATCAAGCCATTAGTGTGTGTGTGTATATAATAAATTAAAATCAAAGTCTGAATCCAAATAGAGAAGGTAGCATCATAATATTATGTGAAGAATAAAAAAGCAACACCTTACACAGAAATCCCTTGTATTTCATTCCCCTCTCTCTCTAGGCAGAGGATTTAAAAATGTAGAACTTACACTGTATCAAATCTCCACCTAGCTTAATGTATTAAACCAGTTAAATGTATTTGCAATTTTTGCCATTTACTCTAATTCCTTCTTTCCACCTAAAGAGAATGATCAAACATGCTGTAGAAATACTAACACTCCTTTTACTAACTGCAGGCAACATATCATGCACTCCTCTATATTCAAGATATATAGTAAACATACCTTGTTGCAGTGATTTGATTTCTTCGTCTTTCTGCTGGAGCTGTTGTTCCTGGAAATCTTTCTGGCTTCTGTGTTGGGTGATCTCCTCCTGACGAGCCTCTCTGACTGCTCGCACTTCCTGTGAAATATATACATATAGGTATACACACACACACATATTTACATGCACAAGCACACATATATCTATCTATCTATGTCGATATCTATCTATTAATATATATATATATATACATATACATATATATATAAATTCCTGAATTCTGCCACCTCCCTACTGTAGGAAGGCACATCCCTGCAGTTCTTGTTTTTTTCCTTTTCACATTTTCTTTCTTACTTTCTCCTTTTTTATTACAATCATGAATGTGATATAGCCATGGCCCCCAGTCCCCTTCAGTGCTGAGTCCCCCCAATATAATTGAGTTCTTTCTCAAATTTTTGCTTTTGTTATTTTTTTGTGGAATTGTTGTTTTGTTGTTTGGTGCTGTTGAGCTGAATCCTGGTCCTTGCCGTCCAGAGTATTGTAATTTACTTTTGAGTAATATTCGTGGACTTAATGGGAATCTGAATGAACTTGCAGTTATCTCAACAAAATTTGACATTGTTTGTTGTGCTGACACTCTGGTTTCAGACATGAGGCACACATCAGAGTTGCTTTTAGCTAATTTTAATAAACCCTTGTTACTACATAGGAATTCTCTGCCTCAAGCCCAAGGTTTGTGTTTTAATGCTAGAAAGATAGATAGAGAGATAAATAGATAGAGAGAGATAGAAAGAGAAAGATTAAGAAGAAGAAGAAGAAGAAAAAAATATCACTAAATGATGTTTATTACTACTTCAATCAAATTCCAACCTTTTCCAGGATGTCATATCTTTCTCTGGCCTCCTTTAAACTTTGGGAACCTTCGCATCTTTTTGCTTCTAGCTCCTCCTCTGCCTGTGTCAGCTTGTAGTCTAATGATTCAACCTGAAAATGAGATAAAAGTTTATGGTTAATAGCAGGTCAGAAATTACATTGAAAAAGGAATCCATTTTTGGGGTGTCTGAATAAAGGGAAATAATTCAGATAAACTAAATGAGATTTCTTATGTGATGTGTTAGATTTGACTATCCATCTCAAAAGTAAAAATCAGAATCTTCTATAGTTCTGTACCAATGAGGTCTTCAATAAGACCCCCCCCCAAAAAAAAAAAAAAAAAAGAAAAAAAGAGAAGAAAAAAGGAAAGGAAAGAAAAGGTTAGGTAAAATATATATTTTCAAGTAACAGACTCCCTCTGGAAGTGGACTGAGTTTTTTTTATTTAATCTTATATTAGATATTTAATGAGGTTTGCTAATTGTGCTTTGGTAGTCATAAATCTCGCCATTTTGGCACTAGGGGCTGTTTTTATTTTGAGAAGTGAACCTGTTTGTGGACACCACCTCTCTAAACCCTACCTCCCAGACCTAGATATTACATTGGAAAAATAAAACTGAAGTTTAAATTGCAAATACAAATCTTGTTTATTTTTTAAGCTTTGATAAGAGGGCTACCATTTTAATATTGAGATGATGCACACTCACTCTATACAGTATCACCATACATCAGCTAGCAGCAATATATATGATGCAGTCCCCGTGGCATGAGGTTTGCTAATTGTGCTTTGGTAGTCATAAATCTCGCCATTTTGGCACTAGGGGTTTTAATTTTTGAAAACCAGGGTTTTAGACTTGTGAGAATTTTTGAAATACAAAAAATACAGTTGAACAGGTTAACTGAACCAAAGTCCCCCCCCATCAGTTTTGCTATGGCTCCGGGTTATTGGGGACCTTTCATCATGGAAAATTTGGCTAAGGGGTGGGTGATGGATGTGTCACAGAAAAATCTGGCTGAGGGCTGGGGTGACAGGACCATCTAAACATAAGATACTGTTACTGAGTAGTGGGTGACAGGGCCATCTTGCAATGAGTGCATAAAGCTTATGGAAGGAAATGGACTCATTCAGGATTAAGGAAGCGGCTTTCCATCATTTTCACTGGTAAATGAGGGTGGAGTATACCATCTGCAAGCCGTGCCAGGGAGATCACTATAACCATGTGCACGAACCTATTTCTGCCCAAAATAACCAGCTGCTGTGTTAAGAAAATTGGAATAACAAAATATAAAAAAATAACACAATGTCACTTATGTGATACTGTTACTACATAGAGTAGTAACACACACAGGAGAGTTGCCACTCAAGCAAGCCTAATTTCCAGATTCTGGTTCATGTGCAAGCCACAAATCACCTGGATCCACTGGGTTTATTCTTGACTATGTTCATGGTCACAAAACATTTAGTCACTGTAAATGACTGTTTTACCAGTTCTATGTAGTGCTTGAATTTATGTCTAGTTTAAGTTAACCCTTCTCTTCGTCTATAAGTTCTAAATACAACTACTATTTACACATACCTTTGCATTTAGAGAAGCAATGACCTCTTCTTTCTCTTTAAACTGTTCATTAAGAGTTTTGTTTAAGCCTTCGATTTCGGAAAGCTTTACCTTGAGCTCTTCATTTGCTTTAGTTAGGGATGCTAGAAGTTCCTCTTGCTCATTCAATTTTTCCTATAAGTATTAATATAGAAATGCACTTTTTTGTAACTTAAAGTATCAATAAAATAAAGAAGAGTAACTATTACAATTTGGATTTTCAATACCAAGCATTAA